ATAGGTTAGGCATTCTAGGCAGGCTTTTGAGCTAAGTCTGAGGGTGGATAACTAAGTCACACTCACGACTATAAAGGACCTTGCTTGTGTTTCTAGACTTGAAATTTACATGCTGTGCTGCGTTAATTAGGCATCGTTTGGTAAACCGCTGGGTTTTAGGTATGACAAGTGCCACTTAAAAGGATGAACATAAACATTAGGCAGGTTGAACTGACATGCCTCGAGCTTGCTCCTGCACAAAAACCTATGACATTCATGGCTGGGATGATATGTTGATTTTCTACGTACTAATGGCACATACTACTCCGACTTTAATTTAGCAAAAGGGCTTTTAGCCAATTATCCTAGCATGCTTGTTAGCTGTGTCCTTAGAAGCTAGCTGCAGTATATTTGAATACGCCATTTACAATAAAACATGTTGAGCTTTATACATATAGGGACAATAAAGCAAAGGAGACATGAAATAATAAGTCACCGCAGTCTGGATAAAAGGAGGGAAGGCACTCAGCGGGTTAAGCATAAAAGAGTGATTAAACATTTCAAGCTGTGTTGTCAGGTGAGGAAGATGGGTGGCCTTAGTCAGAGTCCCGCATATGTGGGTCTATTTCTGAGAGGCTATCAATCTTGGGATGTATAAGTCCGGTGAGAGAGAGTCCTCCAGAGCCGCATGGCCTAAGTCTCTGTGCGGCTGTGACAGTCAGCCGACTCCTATAGTCGGTATAGGCGGGGTATATGCTGCAGCGTCTCTCGGGGATCCTTCCCCGGTTCGCTGGGGGCATGCTCTGTGCTGATTTCGTGAGTGGTGAGCAGGCTGTGTGGTCTGGAGGGTACAGCTCTGCTGCCGTGGAACGTGAGCGTTGGTGTTCAATGGGCATGGCGCCGTTTCCCGCCTCGCTGTTTCTCGGCTTTGTTTCCGACTAGAGGTTGCTCTGGGTCGATGTGGGAGACTCCCCCCAGGTGGCGTCGGGAAGCCAGGGGGGATCCATGCCACCGCTTCTCTCATAGCCAGCCTGAGTTTCAGCCTCCGTGCAGCAAGCTTTGTCCAGAGGTAGGTGCGGAGCTTGTCGAAGAATTCCAGTGTGTGCTTAGGTGGTGTGATAAGTGGCTTTGTCGCAAGTTGCGTCGGTGCTGCCATTTTGGCTAGGCCCCGTCTGTCTCGAGTGGCTAAGGTTTTTGTCGCTTGGGCTGTCAATGATGCAGGGCTGGTTGTCCCCAGCGTGGACCGGGATGACACCCGCCGGTCCAGAGAGGGGGGGCAGCAGGTCTGTGGTGTACTCTTGCCGGCGAAAACGGCTGTCTCCCCTGGGGTTCAGGTCCCACTCTGGGTTAGGCCACATGGCCGAGTTGGTGTTTCTGTGGCTCTCCAGTGCCCGGCAGGTATAATTTCGTTGCCTGTGTCTTCCTGTAGTAGTTACTGGGCACCTTTTGCAGCTAGCTCGATTGGGTCGCTCGGTAGTAGCTTTCTTTTGCCCGTTACAGCAGGAGCTCTTGGAGTGTGCTACCGGCCATCTTGGCTGTCAGGCCCCGCCCCCATGTAACAATCTTTCTAATTGTCAAGCAATATTCAAATAAAGACTACTTACCCCTTTAAGACGTTTTCTCTACTTCACAGGATAAGGAAAGCACCATAGGTAATCTAACATATACAAAAATAAATGAGGACTTGATTTGTAATTCAAAAGAAAGAGAAGAAATATTCCAAATAAGTAATCAAACTGTATCAATATGGGTAATCCGGGAGAAGTTTTGGTTGGCAGTCCAGGGTCTGCAACAAGATTTCAATAAGAAAAAATAAGGGAGATCTGAGAGAGCAGTTATTAGGCAGTCCGGGTTCAGTAATAAGGAATTGGTTAATAGGAGGAAGGTATTCAGGGGAGCGCTGGAGAGTCTTTTGGTCTCAAATAGATGGAACCTAAATAGGGAAAAAGAATATCCCGCACTGAAGTAAAAACACATTAATTGTGCACAGAGGCTCTAACGTCGAACGTTTAAATAATGTAACGTTACGTATGTCAGTGCCTCCTTAAAGAAACAGGTAAAAACCCTGTTGCTACACTGTATGACTAAAAGACCATCACACCTATATAAGCTTCATACAGTTGCAAGAAAAAGTATGTGAACCCTTTGGAATGATATGGATTTCTGCACAAATTGGTCATAAAATGTGATCTGGTCATCATCTAAGTCACAACAATGGACAATCACAGTCTGCTTAAACTAATAACACACAAAGAATGAAATGTTGCCATGTTTTTATTGAACACACCATGTAAACATTCACAGTGCAGGTGGAAAACGTATGTGAACCCCTAGACTAATGACATCTCCAAGAGCTAATTGGAGTGAGATGTCAGCCAGCTGGCGTCCAATCAATGTTTAGTCCCTAGCTCTCAGTGTCATTACTATTCAAATGTCAATAGTAGCTATCGTCTTCCCAAAAATCTGTAACTTCTTTCCCAATGTATATTTTTTTAGCAGGAATTTAGTGTTAATATTTTATTGGAGATTTATTATTCAACTACTATTCCTTTACTCAGGTATGTCAGCAGTGATTTAATTTACAACTGTCAATCACATACATCATCCATGTTGTCACCTTGCACCTTGGGTCCTCCCAAGCAGTGAGGATCAGTTTCACATCAGATTGGATCGAATTTCCATTCGCTATTAGACAATGCTTATGGGTAATTTGTCCTTTTGAGCCCTGCTGTTCTGCATGATCGTATCACTACTACTGCTACTATACTACTACTATAGTTTGAACCAATTCTTGTCTAGTTGTTTCTTGGTTAGTGGATATATTCAGCTTCAATATCAGCATTAAAACTATTATAATGAAATGGTTTAACCCCTAGAAAATCTGTTGTGTTTACTATCTGTTTGGACTCTTGGCATTACAGTTAGGCTCCTTTTCGACTAACTTTAACTTTTTATTATAATTAAAGAAGGTGAAACAAATATATTTGAGATAGGGAAATGATTAAAATGACATTATGGGATTTAATAATGTAGATGAATGGTAATATTTCCATATAGTTACGTTATGTAATATGAAATGGGCGAAGTAGGTAAGGGGATAAATGGAGGCCCATAAAGGTGTAGGAGTTTGAACACTATTTTAACACATTTTAATTAAGCATATATTATTTATTAAAATACATGAAAGTTGCTTTTACATGTCTACATATTCTTTATTATGTCTTCTAATTATATTTCTGGGCTTCTTCTGAAGTGGAATATCCTCGGTGACTTAGACTCCTCTTGCTTGGCCAGGCTAAACACTTTGTGTCTCCCCACAGTTGGATTTTTTATAAATCAGTATATATGGTGTGGCCATGGAAGGCTGTCTGTTTAATACGAAGTGTGTTGTTTTCCTGGAAACACTGCTGTCATCAAACAGAAACCATTCTTCATTTCCATTCACAGAGCCAAGGGCCAAAGAGTGTTTTTCAGAATGTGAACACCCTGAATTATCAGATATGTCCCTCGCATAAGAATAATAGTGACCACTGTCAGATGATAACCCAGAATGGACCACAACAGAATTTAAAACATAGGGCACTTGTTGTTGGTTATGTGACATGTCTTCTACCTCAGGTATTTTATTCTCATTCTCCAGTGTCTGATCTACTGATGCAGCCGGAGATGTTGATCTCTCTACAGGCAAATCCAGTACGAGTGGAATGGACACAGGTTCCAATATCTTATGCTTCACATTGCAGATTGTATCATAGGCAAATCGCAGTAAAGTTAAAATGAGATATTGTGGCTCTTCCACGATCATCTTAGTCCTTTCTGCTGTCTGGAGGGAAGCACATGTTTGACACTGATACTTGTTATCTCCATCGAGAACCTCTGGTGCCAGGAAACTACGTAGCAGGTCTTTTACCGTAGGTGTTTCCTTTGTCTTTTCCTCTCCAGTTTTTTGACATGAGATGTTTCTAGGCCCATGGCTCATGTTTTCCTCAGTGGGTGATTCTGCAGCTGGGGTCATATTGATTGTAACAGAATCGTAATGTTTTTCCTCGGTAGAGCATGCCATTACCGGTGCTGGTTTGACAAATGAAGAGAAAGCCAGAGGAAGATCAGTGAAATCTTCTCTCTTCTGGGAGGTGCTTTTGCAGGTCTTACAACAAGTGTTTGTTTTCAGCTTTCCCCCAAACATGCTTTCTATCACAGTTTTTTCTTCCTTTCCCAGTTCTGTGCTCCGAGGTGTTGAATACTGTGTTGATTTCTCCTCTTCTTGCAATCTAATGCACAAACCAATATTAAGCAAGAACAATGGAAATTTAAAAGTTTCAACATTTGTCTTATGCACACAGAGTGTATCTTTTAAAACTAATTAGCTAATATGTAGATTTTACCAATGAACTTGAGCTATTTTATAAAGAAACACCTCCTAAATTATCAATTAAAATGAATTCAATAATACCGTTTAATATTGTGTATTTTGAATGACAACAACAACTAGTCAACTATTACTAGTTATATAGACTAAGTATAGACCAAGTATATGTACCTGTTTAGAAGGAATCTGAGATACTCGGCAGAGTCTTCCTGGGAATTAGGACTGGACCCAGGTGGTCTTGAAGCCATAAAAAATTCACAAGGTGCATAACCTATTCGCTGGTTAGAAATGGAAAAAGACATTAATTTAAAATGCTGTACTGGCAAGAAAAAGGCACAGTGATATTGACAAAAGACATTGTTTTTGTATGCCCATTTTAAGGCTAGGTTAACTCTACGGTTATTTTTCTTTTTTTAAATCTTATATTCAACTTAAATGAAGTGACTCAATGACCCACACTGTATTATAGATTTCAGACTTTTGCAACTGATAGGTGGGCATGCCCGTTCATATGTATTGCTTAGGTTTTGTCTAAAGAGAGGTTTTAAACAAGTTTTATGCTGTATTTTAAATAATAAAAGTGTATAGTTAATTTGTTTTTTAATATATTCTTTATTTTTGTTGTGCAAAAGTTAATACATGATTGTGTGAAGCCACAACATCATTAGCAAACTAAGCAATAACAGTGTGAAACAGTGTCATGGCACATTTTTAGGATTAAAATTAAATTAGACGGTGTATGGAGCAGAGATGTGAGAGATAAGAGGAAAAAGCATAGAAAACACACATCTGCATCTCAAACAATTTAACATTGCCACTGGGTGTTAAAATACATAGACCAGATTCTCTAGGCTGTTGATTTGGCTGGGGGATAAGATTAAAATCAAGCAAATAGACTAAATAAATGTGAATGGTACATTGGACAACTGGCCCAAGGTGATGGCTATGGATTATGTACAGTAGGGACTGTCAATCTAAATTGGGCATCATTGGAATATACTTTCTGTGTTCATTATCAATGTAAGGCAGCCCATGTAAGCGATCCCTCATAGCTCCTTTGTGCTCAGTAGCCTATCTCTTAGTTTCTTGATCCCGAGGGTATCCTGTGCGACAGACCCGCCTTTCCGTGCCCTCATGTTCAGATTTTGAGGCCTGTTTAGCCGGACATCATCTCCTGTGTGGAGAGTTGTTCCCAGGGGTACGACCCATTTCGGACTGAGGTTCAGGATGGCAGCGATCAGATGCGGGACCAGACTCTTGGCATGTATATACCTTTCCGAGCCGCGTCCTTCGTTTTCATGCTGTAGGCGCGACATCAGGATGTTTCGTGACCTGGTGTAAGTTGTTGCAGTTTCCTAAAGGGCCAGGCCGAGCTCCAAGTGTCACTGTATCCCTCTCTGTCCGCTGCTTCTCGAGTTGCCCGGCAGATCAGGTTGCAGAGCCCGAACAATGTAAGGGCCTGTCAGACCAACACTATTCAGATTGTAAACGGTGCAGGAAGAGTTGGTGTAGGTCAGCAGTTTGAATCAGGCTGTTTCTGTGTCACTTTTAAGCGGTTTTGGCTCAATACATGGTTTGGAAGGCTGGAGCTATGATAAAACACGTCCGGCCATTTTGAGTGTCAGGCCCCGCCCCTATAGTTCATTTTTTAATGTTAAACAAATAGGAACTCACAGAATTTCTAAAAATAATGAAATGCTCTTGGCACCATAACCACTACAGTGTTCTGTAGTAGTTTCTGGTGCCAGAAGAGGCCCTGTCCCTGGTTTCCCCCCTTTCTCCACCCCTATTTTCAGTAGTCAATACGTTTTACCAAGGCATCGCTTTTTACCAGGGGTCCACATATGCCATGTCTCCGCTACTTAACTTGGAGAGTCAGAAACTCCTAGACAATATCTTCCATTTGCCCTTCTGAGCTAAACCCTGTATCACCAGGCTTAACTCATAGTGAAAAGCTACCTGTCAGAAGTACTGTAGGTGTAGAGTGGCGCCTTACAGATCCTAGGTAAGAAGTCAACCTGGTCTACAATGGTTTGGCTACTTTCAAATTGGGGAGGTGGAGGGAGGCCAGAGTACTATAGTGGTTATCGTGCTTGAAATGCCACTTTAAAAACATACCTTGTTTGTATGAGATAACTTCTTGAAAAGATGTTTCAATTTCTCCATCAGTGATTGGCACCCACTCAGATTCAGAGATAACACGTACCTCCTAAAACTGAAATAAAAACATGTGTTTTACATCTTATTCTTGGACATTACAAATTAAACGAGATACAAAATAAATGCACACAGCAGCCCCAATGCATGTTCTGTCCCTGCCCCCTTCAACTGGGCTGCTCTGCGTTTAAATACCTGGGCTGAATTATTTTCCCAGTCCAGCCCTGGTGTGAAATAAAGCATAACTTACTCTCCTGCCATGAATAATGCTTGCAATACACTGTTCATATAACATGTGTTTCCCAAGTTGATTAGGCCAATTTTCTTGGTTTTTAAATTCACTGACTGTGGCAGGTTCTAAAGAGAGAGAAAAAACAAACACACTCACAGTCAACAAAACGCACAATATATAAAAATGTCTACAAACAGAAATGTGTTTTCCATGCTCATCCAGCCAGTCTCCGTGTAATGAATTGGCCGATCAATGTGTGGAGTTACAGAATGCCCTTTTTTTCACAAGAAGGTGAAAATAAATCATTCTTTTTGACTTGGTCACTGTACCTCACTATGGAATATGTTGGAGCTTTGTAAATATTGCTAATGGTTATAATGTTCAGTTTGTTAGTAGAATATTTATATCTACTGTGATTGACACATTCCACTATACCCAGCAACAGTGTTATTCTCCCCTCCACAGCCTTACTCCTATTGTCCCAATCCACACCCCAGTCCCATCTACCCTACTCCATTGCCATAGCCAGATATCCCCACGCAGCTCCACTGCTATAGGCCTATTCTCTCTTCCCAGTCTTATTTCCCTTCCAGCCTCTCTACCATATGCCCTAATACACCCATTTCCCTATGCCTAGTGAATTTATTTTTTTGAAATCCTGATCTCCCATGACCTGTCAGGCCCTATGTAGGTATCCTGCAGATAATCTGCCTGTGATCACCACTTCCCAAAGACTTACATATATCGAACTGTATAGTAGAGCAGTGGTTCCTAAATCCCAAATTAGGTGCCTATGCTAAATGGGTCGTTAATGTTTGGAATAAGCACATCATATTAATGAAGATGCATGCAATTGTTCTGAATAAATGCTTTTTTACGGCGTCTTTGCTTCCTAGGTGTAATAAACCCACGTTTCACTTTGGGATCAGTCTATTTATTATATGCTACATTTCTGTTATAAACTACAATGCAATGGTAGAATGGGTCACTGGGCTAAATTTTCATTTGAAGAATGGATCTTAAGTGCTCGTGATTCTGCTTAGTCCTTGTACAGCAGTAATTAATGAATTGGTATATGACTTGGATGTTGTATTATTGTTATTACTCTAAACCAAGGATTGCTAAAATTGGAACCACTGTTTCTCAGTGATATTCCCCATGATGCTCAGCCAGCCATAGGAATGTAGCTCGGAAACATCTGTTTTGTCGTAATTAGCTGTCAGTCCTCTAAACCATCTCTATGATATCCTTAATCATGTCTTACTATATATTCATGTTTATATGTATTTTCCTATTTTTAATGTGTAAACAGTTACATTTAAATCTAAATCTTATTGTTATTATGTTGTTCCATTTTTATTAACAATATATAATGATGGCTGATATATGAAATGTATAACATATATTACAAGTACATTAAAGGTCTACTCAAGCCTTATACTTCCTAATAAAGCTATATACCTCAATTTCCTTGGGCTTGCTCTTGTCTCCGGTTACTTTGCTGCGGTTATTGTTGAGGAAGTTGATGATGTCTTGCTCACAGGTGAGATTTTTGGCTCTCCCTTTGCCTCTGAAAAACCCTGTAATCTTCAGTTTCTCAAAACAGGCGAACGAGCACCAATTGCAAACCCGCAGTCTTAGACACCTTCCGAAATCACATAGTTTTGTCCAAAATAAACGTATCCATAATATCAGATTTTGAAACCATCCAGTTTTACTTTCTATACTGGAATCTTTGGTCTCAGATATCGTTTCCTCAATGTCAAGGACTGTTGCCTCGTCTGTCATTTTTGTTTCCAACTGTTTGTTCACAGTACCACAATTTTACAATGTGTGTGAAACACTGTGTGTGGATTTTTGATAAAATTAGTAATAAAACTCTAAGGACAACTCTAGCGCACTGAACAGCAATGCAGCCAATTCAGTATTGAGTGAGTGTTCCCTCATGCACTGGTGAGAAACAATTGTTCATATGATGACATCATAATCGAGTCACAATCTCATATGTTGATAATGGCATAAACAAAGTTAAAATTACTTGTGGGCTCTTAACCCCTTCACGACCGAGGACGGTTCAGGACCGTCATCGGCATTTTTGCGTTGCCGACCGATGATGGTCCTGAACCGTCCTAACGGTCTTAGTTACTTAACTGATCGCCGTCATTCCCCCGGCGGTGATCAGCGTGGCTCCCGGTGTGGGGAGACTGCCTGCAGCCCAGACAGTCTCCCCACACTGAATTAGGACCCCTGGGGCCATGTGCCTGCAGGGCGATTGTCTGTGCTTACAGGCAGTCTCCCTGCAAGTGTAAAATAAAAAAAAATAAAAAAAGTTAGTGTTAATAAAAAAAATAAAATTATTATATATGTGTATATATGATATATAGACATATATTATATCTATATAATATATGTCTATATATCATATATATAATGCCATACTAAGTGTATTTTTATATTAATATGTACTTATATTAATATAAAAATACACTTATAATTAAATTACACACGTATATATATAATATATATAATAACTATATATATTGTATATATATATTATTATAAAATATAAATAATAAGTAATTTAAATTAAATAAATTTTTTAAAATAATAATAAAAATTTTTTAAAAAATTATATATCTATATGAAATTTCTAACTGTATTTTAAAATTTTTATTTTTATTTTAAATTCTTTATTTTTGTAGTGCTTAGAGTTACAGACACGCTTATATCGCCACGACAGCAGATACAAGCCGATGGTATAACAAGGAATAAACAGTTTCATGGCAAAAATATTGACAGCACAATTTTTAAGGAGGATTCAGACTAGATATAAATGTCTACAGCAGTAGTTTCACTCAGGCTGATAGTTACGAAAGGTCGAATAGACATGTTGGTTAACATCAGGAGCTTACAAGGATTAACAGACTATGTACAGGTTTAGGTAATATGCTATGGGTCCACTGCGGCACTACCATACTGTTCAGTGAAACGCTATATTATAGGTTACATTACAGTGGTCTCAAGGCAGTCTAAGTTATATTAATGAAACATGTTAAATTATGCTACTCATGCACAATTTTAAACCAGGTATGACAACAGGGTTTGAAACTTGCTAAGTATATTATGTAGGAGTATAACATGCTTTAACTTTTAGGTAGCTTATGGTGGATAAGAATGATAGCACTAAAGTGGGGGTAGAGACTATGTGGACTCTTGTGAGACCCCTATAGAGGTTCGCAATACACGTGTGTGAGTCCCAAACTAAAAAACGAAAGAGAAGGAGAAAGAAAAAAAAAAAAAAATGTGCATATCATAACGTCTCCTAAAGTCCAGGCTGTTGGGGCTGCACTGCCACAGTTTGGGGTCAACAATTTGGCGGGTCCAGCCAGTGCCGGTGTGCAGGAAAGCAAAGTACTGTGTCTTGCCAGTCTGGAGGCAAACGCAGTCATGAGAGTTCCTCTGGGGTATGGGGGGGAAAGA